CAGATCAGCTGAAGTCTGTGATGGAACAGGTGTTGGACTTCGCGCTGCACGAGCTGACGAAGATCGTGGAGGCTTCGTTTGACGACCTGCTGCTGGAGATCACCAAGATGGAGAGCGAGCAGCAGCTGCTGGAGGAGAGGATGGACAAGGGGAGAGGAGGCAAGTGGAGAGGAGGAGCGGGGGGTCGGAGGAGGGGATCTGAGAACGACTCGGTGTCCCCCAGTGGGTCTGATGACACCCAGGAGGAGCTGGCCGAGGCCCCCGTGTCCAAGGAGACGCCACAGGCAGATGGTGAGCCCCCCCATTCAATTTCACTGAGGGCCACACTTTAAAATGGAAATTGGATATGTAAACATAGGAAACTTATATATTTGAACGACTCGTCAGCAGCAGCTGATCTCTCTCTCCCGTCAGATTAGACTTCACTCGCGTTTATGTCCATATCGATCAGATCTAGCTAGTTCTATCTAATGATAGGACTACCTGCTTATCAAAACACCAAAACAATAAGTGTCGCTATGCAACCGGGTGAGGCCGCAAAGCATAGCGCAGCATTATGCATTTGTTTACATGCCCACCGGAAGCCCGAGGCATTACCAACAGATCAACGCACAATCAACCCATACAGGACATCTCTTTCTCCATATTAAGTGTCTGTCACATACTATTCTTTATTTTGACCGGAGAGATTTGGATTTGCCGGTCTTCAGCATATTTTACTGGTCAAAGTCCGGTAATTACCGGCTAACGGGAACTCTGTTTGGGACTTTAATAATAATAATAAAAAGTGTAAAAAAAAAAACAAGAGGCCCCATTATGCTTTTTGGGGTTTTCCCTTTCCTATAGTGTGTTGTATAGGTTTGTTGTTCACCTCCATTGGAGGCCTCAGAACTTTAGTTTGACACGCGTGCTCCAGGCAGGTTCCGTGGAAGGAAATGCATCAATCTCGTTCACATTAAGAGCAAAATGAGGAGGCTAGACCTATGGAGAACTTTGCCACATTCACCCGAGCCTTTCCAAGCAGACCTTGAGGAGTTTGCTGCGCCTTGACCCAGACAGACTACCAGGGCCTGACTGATCTAGTCCCCAACTCCGGGGACTTCGGGAGGCAGTATACGCCGTGAAGTTGTTTGCGACCAGACAGTCAACCCAAAGCAGAAGAAGCAGAAGAAGAAGAAGTGACGTCAGCGGCTCCCTCAGGGACTTATTCCGGTGTGAACGCGATTTACTAGATAGTTCCAGGGGAACATTTCCGGGAACTATTCCTGGGAAAAGTACTTGGTGTGAAAGCGCCAAATGGGCCCTCTCTCTTTACATGATAAGAGTACAGAGTTTCATCCTTCCCGCCTTCTCTCTTCTTTTCCTCCTACTTCCTCTTTTATCTTCCCCCTCAGACTTGGGGCGCCCCCCTGTCCTCTCCGTCGCTCAGGACTGGGTTCCCATCCTGGACAAGGTCTTTGGTCAGAAGTGGTGCAGCGACGTGTGGCAGATAAAGGAGGGGGCCGGTACAGGGCGGGGTCTGGGTGAGGGCCGGGTTGAGCACGCGGCACCCCTCTCCAACCGCTCTGTGACCCTAGAGCCCTCCCCCTCCTCCCCCCAGCAGGACCCCCGTTGGACCCCTCTGGAGGACATGGAGGTGTTTTCTCCAGATGAGGAGGCTGCAAGCAGTCAGAGGGACACCTCGGGCTCCCGACATGGACACCCCCACAGCCCCACAGGTGAGCCCGAACTCCTTTGGCTGTGTGACAGGAAACCCACCCTCTGCACACAAACACATAAACGGAAACATCACACACCTGAGAGAGCAGGTTATTACCAACTACAAAATGAAATTGATGAACACATTAATGGATCCAAAATTATAACAAAATTAAATAATATATATATAATACTGCAAAATAAGTACTTTTACTTTTGGTACTTTAAGTATATTTTAAATCTAAAATCTATTACTGATGCGTGTGGGTGTCTCTCAGTACTGCCCTCCACTGGACAGTTATATTACAATGATTTATAACATTAAAACACTGACGGGGAAATCTTACTGCACAGTTTGTACTACAATACAAGCAGGATTTTAACCAGTACTGGAGTATTTTCCCAGTGTGCATATAGTAATCTCTCAGCAGTAATCTGATTACCAAAGGTGGGAAGTAACTAAGTACATTTAAGTACTGTACTTAATGTACCTTTTAATTGTAGTATTATATATATTTTTACCTCGTCTGTACTGTCCTGTTTTTCACTCTCAGTCTGTTGCCGCTCTAAAGCCCTGAATTCCCCGACGGGGATTAATAAAGGTCCATCTTATCTTAAGTACAACTTTGAGATACTTGTACTTTACTTGAGTATTTTAATGTTATGCTACTTCTACCCCACTACAATTCAGAGGTAAATTGTGTGCTTTTACTCCACTGCATTTATTTATACATTTAGTTACTTTACAGATTTGGATTAATGATGTGAAATATAAACAACACTTAAATCAGACTTATGATCATGAGTACTTTTACTTTTGATACTTTAAGTATATTTGTATGTCAATACTTTTGTACTTTAACTCTAGTAACATTTTATATACAGGACTTTTACTTGTAACAGAGTATTCCTAAAGTCTTTTACTTTGACTCAAGTACAATATCTGAGTACTTCTTCCACCTCTGCTGATGACCTTCCTCCCTTCTTAATGTTTCTCTGCAGGCTCTTCCGGCCGGCGCTCATCAGCCTCGATGCTTCATCGCCTCCTCACGCTGCCGTCTCAGCTGCTGGACGAGGAGGAGGACGCCGCCAACGACACGCTGGTCGCTCTCGCCATCGAGGGAGTCCACGACCTCCGAGAAGCCATCGAACCGCACCGCCTGTTGCCCCCACCCAACAGAGAGGAGGACGAAGAGGAGGAGGAGGAAGAAGAAGAGGAGGAGGAGGAGGAGGACAAAGGGAGGAAGGTGAGTGAGGAAACAAGCATCTTTCAGTATTTCAAATACATAAAATGTTGCTTGTTTTAACAATTGTAAGTGAAATAATGATTATATGTTTTGAAAGTTATGTTTTTGAGTATACAAACTTTTAATATTAAAAATAAAATCATCATAGTGTTGTGCAAATAATCCAGCACCTTTTGAAATGAAAGCTTCCAGTTTTAAACTATTTATTTTTATTTTTTAAACTGCAGATATTGTTTTAAAAATGTGTTTTTATTCATTAATGCACAAAGCATGGACGCAGGAAGGGGGAACCTCCTAAAAACAGATATTTAAAAAACTTTCTTACTGATATGTGTGCCAGGAAAGAGGTTTGTTTTTAGTTTTCAAATAAACGATAAGCTTATTATAGGTTCATTATAACAAAATGTCATCCCATACTAGATTTTATGTTTGGTGTCTTAATCAATTTGTTATCTCTGTCATTATTAATTTTAAGTTGTTGTTATTGGAGAAAGGATCAATATAACAGCTGACTTTTTCAATATAATATTTGTTGCTGTGTCCTGTGTGAGCAGAAGAAGCGGCGGCGGGTTTGGTCGGAGTGTGAGGAGTGTGGCCGGAGGTTCAGCCGGATGTCTCTCCTGAAGGCTCACCGGCAGACGCACGCAGCGGAAAACACGGCCGCTGTCGACACGGCGTCCCCCGCGCCCACAAGCAACGCATCAGCGCTCCACTGCTCCACCTGCGGTAAGAGGTTCTCCTCCGCCACCCGCCTCCACAGCCACATCCTGGCCCAGCACCCCGGGACCCGGACCTGACCTCCAACAGAGTCCAACAAGAAGCTAAACAAACACCACAGCAGTATCCACAGAGCAGAACCAGAACCATGAAGGGAAACTCATCAGGATCCCACTCCAGAAAAAACAAACATGACCAAAGGGATAGACCGGTTTTACACTCTAAAGTACTTCTATTCTGAAATATGGAAGCCAACTCCAGGGCTTCTGTAGAGCACTTTATTATTAGAGCTGCAACTAAATTATTTATTCCACTATTTATTTATATTTCCCATTAGAAGTTACTGTATGAAATTACAAAAAGCTAAAGTGAATATGCTATCAACTGAAACAAAAGTTATTTTTGTATTACTATTTTACAAATTGTTCAAGTAGCAGCGCTAACATAATGAAAAAACATAAACTTTCTTTTGATTTTCTTTCCTAAAAGAGGGTTTAAAACAAATTTGAGCAATAATATTTAATATTAAGACCCTCAAAACATAAATTATTATTTTAAAAAGATTAAAAATCACCACAGATAAAGATTGAAAAAAACTCTGGTCTAAAATCTGTCTATCCCTTGTCCTTGGTACCCGACAACCATATTAGAGCGTATGGAAGAAGGTCACATGATCGATGATCACCCAGGACCAGAAGGAGTCCAGGTCCAATCTCGGTTCTGCCTTGGATCCGGCTCCAGATTTATCAAGTGCTGTCAAATCGCTTACTCAAGCTCCATTTCTTTTTTTGAGTATCAAAATATTCAGCTTTTTTCCACGTTGATCATTTTGAATGTACATTTTCAAGCCAACAAAACACTAAAAAAGCCCATAGACTCGACTCCCCCCATCGGATTCATTTTAGCGATGGGGTCCGACAAGTAAACAAACAAATCTGCCAAAGAGGGAAAATATTTATTTTATTTCACAATTGAAATGCATTGCTATAAAAGATAAAAACTGTACTACTATCAAAAAAGGGGAAGTTAAAATTGAAGTGAATAGGTTTAAAGAAAAAATGCTTTCTTATTTTAAAAAGCATAAAAGGTAGAACATGTAGAGATTGTTCCCATTCTCTGCAACTAAAGGGACATTTCTAATTTAATTATAATAGGGAAACAATCTAGTGGCTTTGTCTAAGCCCCCTTTGTTAAACTACTGTTATGATATGCTATCTTTTATTTTTAAAATAAGCTTTATTGGGGCCCCCTGTTAATGTAGTATTACCAAATGAGGTCTTTTTATTTTGAAAATTCGATACTCTCCATTGAACTAATGTTATACGGGGGCTTTTATTTGGAAAATAGTTTGCTTATTTTCTCCAGGCTGCAATTAAAGAGTATTTTTAGATCAAACTATTTGAAAATTATAGTTTTTTTCCCCCTCATTTAACTTTCATTTAATCATTTGAAAAGTATGTTGGATAGAAAACAAATTTAAGTGGCTTTTTAAAATTATTTTAACTCTTAACAAATGTTGAAAGCTGAATAGATTTGATAAAAAAAGATTTGTAGACATCTGAACTCCCCAAAACACTTATTAATCCCAACTCTGGATTTAAAACGGGAAATAAAGAACCTGAACGGGGAATAATTGCTGAGTAAGCGGAGATGAAAAACCTCATGTTTCAAACTCCATGTTTTTAAATTCTGTAAAATACCCTCTTGGACACGATACGGGGCCCCACCTCATGAGGTGAGCTTGAGTCCCAGCAGGAAATGTTATTTTTTATTTTTGTTGTTGCAACAAGCTCGTGGCCTCAGCAGTCGGACGGTCGGAGCTTCCTGTTGATGATCGTTGTTTTTCTCCTTCTCGTGTTGGATCTGTAAAACGTGAATTTGCAGGAAGATGGATTTTTCTATCCGTTTTTGTTGAACGGAAGTGCCCTTTTATTGTTTCTCTTAACAGACTTATTTTTGGTTATCGTCAGGTGCATTTTTGTCGTCAAGTTTTTGCGAGCAAAAGGAAAAGAAACTTTGTCAGTGGCATCGATTGTTTTGGACTCAAATGAATGTGAATCTTTTGTTGTACAGTTTTTACTTTACATACAGAACTGAAGGTAAAACAAGAGAATAGAGGAAGGTTTTTAAAATCTGCAACGGTTTCCTCCTCTGCATCTTTCTCTCCTTGCTTACATCCTTCCTTCCTTCATCCCTCATTCTTCAGTTAAGCGACCTCATGTTGACACACGGATACCTCCTGAAAAAAACACAACCACCTTTTTCTATATACGATTTCTGATCGTTTACCTTTGTTTTTTTTTGTTTTTTTTCTGGCTTCAACTAATTAATCATTTGCTTTTATGTGCTTTAATGGATCTAATCTGCATTGATTCCCATTTGTCCCAGGCAAATAATTTGCATTTTAATTAACGGTATGTTTTTTTTATTGAAAGATGTTCCTGGCAAAACAAGTAAGAAGCTTCCATTAAAGATTTTAAATATAAATGACAAACAAAATCAACTTGGCCACACATAGTTTACTACAGAACATGTTTTTTGCTTCTAAAAATATTGTCATCTGATTATTATTACATTTTCTTTACTTATATTAATCAAATCTGTATGGAAGCCCTTAACTGCCAGGAAATTGACAAAATAAAGATAATCAAAAAAAAATAGAAGTCGATAACTTAAGATGCCTCAAAATGTTGAGTTGTATTAAAACAATACTATACAAACCTATAAAGATTGAGACATCTTAGATCAATTTTTTAAAACTTAAATTAAAAAACGCTTATGAAACGACAATTCCACCATTTGCTTTATTAATGGTTCCTAGCTTTTTATCAGTTTTTGCGTTTTTCTAGGATTTGATTTTTTTTTACTATGAGTCAGAAATGTAAATCTATATTTAGTATAGTAATGCTGTCCAAGAAAACTAAAATGAGTTGAGTTTATAAAATATAAATCTCAGAAAATAAACAAAGAAATGTTTTCTGCCAGAAATGTTTTCTTTGATGGCTGTTTTCTACAAACTGGCTTCAAATATTTATTATTTCCTTCACTTAATGGGCATTTAAAATATGGTAGCCCATTGGTGCCAGGGGAAGAAAAACATATACAGAAATAATACGTTTGTGAAATCTATCAAAAATAAATATACAGATTAAGTGGATAAAATAATTGGTTTTAATTTTACCAAAAGATCAACATTAAACTGAGAACAACTAATCTAAAATGCCCCAACTTGTGTTGGTGTTTTTTTTAATCATTCCTACCTTTCCATCTGTTTGTGACTTTATCTTTTGTAGCATGCATACCTCAGGAAGAGATGGAGGGATGTTGGTGACTAGAAGGATTAGATGACGGATATAAAAACAAATATCTGATAAATCTCATGTTTTTCATGTTTCTGCTCCGCGATGCTTCAGCACGTACAATCGAGACGTATCCATCATCTTTAAGCTTTGTAAATGTGCAAACTGAACGTTTTTCTAGCCTCAAGGTGATTCTGTTTTTACTTGTCTTGAAAAGAAAAACATGTAAGCAATATGAAGCCAAAAATCTGACGAGCGGCTGGAGTTTGATTTACTGTCGGAGAGAGCTGAAAGTGGTCATGATGCGCAAAAATATATCACCGTTTTCGAAACACGTGATTAGATTTTGCTGCAACATGACCACGGGTGCTCTCCGGTATAATAATTGCAATTTGATATATGCTAATGATGCCTAATAATAACTGATTAATTGAACTGCCTCTACTTTAATAACAAAAGCTAATTATCTGCTCTGCTAACATCTGAATGACCGCACCGCATTTCTCCAAACGCAAAGCGTCTATCTTTTAAAAAAAAAAAATTATTTGTTGTACTTTCAGCCTCCACATGTTAACACATATCGCTGAGGGAAGTAGGGGTGCTGGAGGTGTTGCAGCACCCCCTGTTGGCCAATGGTGTACATTTGAAAAACTGAGCGATCACCTAATTAAAAATGATTAAACTACATAAAATAGTTATGATTTTACTTAAAATAAAATTAGCCGTATACTGTAGCATATAATAGTCATAGTATATATTGTAGGGCTTTTTTGCCGGTTACTATTATGTTCATGTTACGGTTGAAATCTCTCCCCACTTTTGGCCGCACCCCCTAAGTAAAATGACTTCCCGCGGCTATGCACATACCTCATTTTATTTTGTAAAACATCTGAAGTGTTTTAAATGTTCCTCACCACACAGACCTCATTACCTCATTTGACTACAATTATGTGTATTATATGTATTTTTTTTTTCTGTTTATTATTTCTTTTATTTGTCTCAAAAACGAATCGGGTGAAAAACACAAAACTGCAAAGAGATAGTCTTTAAGGATTGTTTTTTTTATCATTACAAAATTTTTTAAAGGCCTTAAATAAAAAACTATGACATGTTTATAAGAGTTTGCCCCAAATAATGGAAGCCCATTTATGCCAAGATAATAAATGGTTAAAGAGCCTTTTTCAAAAATACTAATAAGGATAAGAATGCAGGGACAATTTGACAATGGTTAGAAATATAAAAATGTTTACTCACTGTGCTATAATTTTAACGTTTAGGTGTATTTCATAATAGCTTATAGTTTTTTACTTAGAGTCTGACTTTAGTTTTATTTTTATGTTTTGAATCTTTCCATTCGTTACACTTAAACTTTGAGCGCTTTAGAAGCACTTAAAAGGGAAAGAAAAACAAAATAAATGATTTACTTTCGGAAAAGATGCAATTAATAACAGCGGTAGGATACAATGAGATGAGAATATAAAATTGTAATGATATACAGTTAAGTAACCAAATGAAAAATATAAAATGTGTGAAAAAGCACCAAACTAAATATTGTAAAAAAACTATTATTTGAGATGTTCTTTTTTAAATCAAAGACTCACAACAAGTGAGTAGTTATGTGGTTTTTACATGCCAGCTCTGTGAATAAGCTTTCAGCTACTGTCGGAGAAAACCTTGTATCTATAAATGTGATCTTACGTTTCTCACTGAAATTAAAATCTGCAATGAACTGTCTGTGACAAATGGAAAATGGCAGAGAGGATATGAGGTTTTTCTCTGACACAATGGGACCTTTTAATCAATCAATGCTTCACCTGTTGTTGTTTACAGAACACTAGAAAAAGAGAGAAATGCTTCTGGTTGAAAATACGTAAAAGGGAAAATTGTGCACAAACTGAAAGGGACCTCAAAGACCTGCGCTAAAATAAATTAAATCATCCAACCCGTTTCATAAAACATCATGCTATTAATGTTTCTGTTGCTCCTGCTTACAAACAAATGCAAAGGAAATGATATAGTATTTCAAACTGACATTCACAAATTGTAAAAGTGAGTACGTTGGATTTTATTTAAAAATGGATCTTATACTAATATGAGTAATACTAAGCCAGAATTATACAGCATACAGTGCCACAGCAAAGACTTTTAGTAAATTACTGAATCAACATTGACAAGGGAATAATATTAAATGTTAATGTCGTACTCAAGACTTTTATAAAAACTCTTCAGGGTCTCGTTGCAATTATAATAAATTCCACCAGATGGATTTCATTTGTTCATATCACAGAGCAGATCCCGGCTCCTTTGATTTTCATTTTATATGGCAGTTTTCTGAAAAGTGGTTATGTGGTTCCCATTTGGAGGGATTATGATGTTTCAGCCTCTCCGTTAGAACTACGGGCTAAGGGAATACAAACTTTACGTTTCAGCAGAGCGGACCGCTCTCTTTAAAAAAAAAAAAAAGGGTTCCTTAAAATCCTTCGTGGTTAGTTTGTAGAAGTAAAGCTCAAATTAATGGAACTTCATGCCGGGGTTCCTCAGGGAACGATTCAAGGTCCTGTTTTTATTCGATGCAACGCGGGAATGAGGGGTTGAAAGGGATTGTTTTATTAATTTCAAATGTTTGACTTTAAGCAGACTGTGTGTTTGTATTGACACAGGCAAATGTGACTCATGTTTAAGTTTTAATTTTTAAATATCTATTTCTACTCCCTGTATAATCTCAATGAATTGACTTGCTCTTGTCTGTCGAAGAAAGTTCATATTGTTCTTGGATTTGATGCAATACTTTTGATAAAAAAATGTGCCCTTTTTTGTAATTTACCAGTCTAATAAAACCAAATCTTCAATAGTTTCCTATTTTAAAAATGACATTTAAAAAGTGCTGAAGTTGAGTGGGAGGCAGTTGAAGCTTCGGTCAGAAAAAAATCAACTCAGAATTGATATGACCTTGGACTTTTTTGTGACCTATGTCAGTTTTGAGTTAATTATTGCCAACTTTCGCCATCATTAACCAGTGGACTATAGTAAATTCTCACTGTATGTTTGGCTGTTTTTGTGCCCGTGTTGATCACAGCAGCACCGTCTGAATGTCAAATACGCCACATTACAAACTGTCTGCCATGATAATGTTACGATGACGGCTATGGTGATGGTGCGTTTTTTAATTTCTATTACCTGTTTTAGTCAATGAGACTGGGTACTTGTTAGTGTTAAAATTCAAGGAAAACCAATAAATGTTCTCAACGACCAGCTTGGCCTGAAGTGTCTGATTTACTCTCTGCTGATGGGGGAACAAAAACCTTTTTCTTTTTAATTATGCTTTTTGGGGGTTTTCTGTACTGTGTTTATATAGGTTTCTGTGCATCACACCTTAAGAAACCCCATGCAGCTTAGTAATACTGTGAAATGTTGACTTTATTTGATCATTTCAGTAAAAAAGTAATGTTTATGTTTCGCCTTTTGGTGTTGAACGGACAAAACAAAGCACTTTGGCAAGTTACGGCACAGGGACTATAAGCACAGTAACTTGCATGATGTAATTTCTCGATCATGATCGGTTGTTTCCGTGAACGGCGGAATGTTGTGTCACGGTTGTCACTACCCGATCTGCAGCTCTGCCCGATCTGCAGTGCGCATGTGCGAGATGGTCCGCCATATTGGACAACTCCGGACGGCAACCCAAGTAGGACACTTGACACAGTGGCTTTTGGCAAAACACAAAAAGAAAACTCGAGAGAGATGAGTTATTATTACAACGTGGCTTCACTATTATTTAACAACTCTTTTTATTGGGTTCTTTTATTTGGGGTTAAGTACATTGTCAGAATAAGTGAGAAATGGATTTAACTTCTGTTAGACAGCTGTCATACTGAATAAATATTTACTGTGAATGTATGCAAAAATGTATGGCATAACAGAAGTTAAATCCATTTCTCACTTATTCTGACAATGTACTTAACCCCAAATAAAAGAACTCAATAAAAAGAGTTGTTAAATAATAGTGAAGTCACGTTGTAATAAAAATAACTCATCTTTCTCGAGTTTTCTTTTTGTGATTTGCCAAAAGCCAGTGTCAAGTGTCCTACTTGGGTTGCCGTCCGGAGTTGTCCAATATGGCGGAGCATCTCGCACATGCGCACTGCAGATCGGGCAGAGCTGCAGATCGGGTAGTGACAACGGTAAATGTTGCGGCCGCAAGGTATTGTGGGACAGCAATTTCTCCTTTCCTTTCGTAAAGAAAGGTCCAGTGTTTCCTAAACTAAAGGACATTTCAAAGCTCCTTTCCTGCCCTCTAGTCTAGAGAATTCGAACAGCTCTTTTCATGGCTACCACTTGGGTATGACCTTGTAATTTCACTCCGTTAGGAACCTTCCTACGCGTAACTGACAATTCAAACGCAACCCTTTGTTTACTTCTGTAACATAGTGACATCATTACACTCGGGCTTCTATTGGCCAGTGCAAAATACAATTATGAACCTGAATATGAGCCGAATTTCTCCTAAGAGGATAAGAAGATCCATAGAAACTCCTTTTAAAACCACATTCGACTCCTATTAAACATGTGTATTCTTGTGAGAGACTAAATCAACGCTGCTTAACAGCTACTGAGGTATAAAACAACATGATTAAATAACATTTGGGATTTGTCACATCATGATTAATAAATGGATTTTTCTCTTTCATTTTTTCACACTCTTAAAGATGTCATCTTTACGAATTTAAAGTTACATGGTTGAGCAACTTTATAAATGATCATTTTATGGGTAAAGGATTATTTTAATGCAAGAAAAAAACGAAATACCAAAACACAACAAAAGACAAAGCTAATTTAAAAAATGATAAGCTGTTGCAGCTGAAGTCTAAATTGAGCATAAACAAAATAGTTGATAAGATATGTATTAATAAACAAACTAAAGTTAGTCTACATTTTTTCTGCCAATCATATTGCCTGGGGGGTTCATTTCATGCAATTATGTGAGACACTAACTCTTTTCCACCTGTAGTGTGTACAAAATGTATGAGTTTCACAATACATGATTTTACTTACATACAAACTTTCTAGTTTCATTCCTCTCTATATTCCGAAGCGTTTTACAAATATCATTTAGAGCCTAATTAATAGAACACGTTGTTACTAAAAATAATAAGAGAATGCATCCGTCCTTTGCATATTAAATGTAACATTTCAGAAAACTTGTAATACAACATCATGTAAATACTCAACTGCGGATGTGATATTTATTCACCTGTCGTGTCTCTCTTAAATATGACATCATTTATTTAATGAGCTTGTTAATTGCCGCGGAGTGACGTCTCCACCCGCCACTTGACCCGGATCAGCGGGGGCGTGTGCTACACGCTCATTCATTCCTTTGTGATTATACACAGGGCGCGTGGAGCTAACATAAATACACGAGCACATATGATGCTGTAACAATAAACAATTTTACCGTGCGCGCACCCGCTCGGGCAACTGCGCGCGACAATAGCCCACCTCTCACCACTACCGTTGCCGTAGTTACCTGTGTACCCGCCAGAACGGGTATGCGCACGAGCGACCATTGGGCAGGAAGGAAGAAGGATCGAAGGGGGAGAGAGGCAAGGAAGGGAGGAAAGGAAGGAGGGAGCGGAATTAGTCAGCGATAGAGGGGAGGAGAGGAGGCGAGGCGGCGGGTTGTTATGCCGAGGTGGACGTGGCGGGTCCGGCGGAGTTAGCTACAAGTGACCGAGGCGGACAGCAATGCACCGGACCACCCGCAGGTAACGTACTACAAGCCCCTCCGATCTTTACAGCTCTGCCCCGGTGTGTTGCTTCTCTCCGCGCCGCTCTGCTCAGTTTCCGGCTTCTCCTCACAGCCTGTACCGCTCTCTGACAGATCCTCGCGGGTCGCAGCACAGATTTCATAAATTGACCCTTTTGTTTGTGAGCTGTCAGCAGCTTCCAACGGAGCCCACCCCACATGCTAAACAGAGATAGTGCCCAGGACAGCGGTGGAGGCTAGCTACTCCTCTCCGTCCGCCTGCCTCTCGTCTCCGCTCCACTCTCACTTTCTCCCCTCCGTGCTAACATCAGCTAGTTAGCTTAGCAGGCTGCTTGTGTGATAAACAAGATGGCCACTGGTTAGCTCTGCTAGCTTGTTAGACATGGCATCTTGCCCTGTCTTTGTATGCCAGAAATGCGCGTTTAAATACATGTTCCTCCTCTGTCATGTGGAGTTTTCTCCCCCGATTGGAACAACCACCGAAACTAAACCTCCCCGCGGATGAACCAGGGGAAGCGTTGTTATTGTGAAGGCATCCTCTGAGGGGTAAATCACCGCCAGATTGTGTTTGTTGCGGGAGGCTGCGTGGCGGGTTGAAAGGCTACCTGAGTGTTTGCAGAGACAGGTAACCCCTTCACATTCAGCCCGAAGAGAGAGAGGACTGAGCGGGCACACCGGGGGCTGCAGCCGGGGCTCGATAGGAATGTAACGGTCTGTTTTTAGAGAAAAGTGAAGACTTGTCGGAATTTAACGTTAACGGCTGATACCAGCCTGCACACTTTAACGTGTGTGTGTGTGTGTGTGTGTGTGTGTGTGTGCGGGGTGGCCTCTGTAGCCACCAAGAGTAAGAACTGTTCTGAAACTCTTCTTCAGCAAAAGCATTATCACTTCATTGTGAAAAAAACTGCACTACATGTCCTGCGTTTAAAATGTAAGTAAAAGTATTGAGTTACCAGTAAAATGTAAATTAACTACTGACGGTTAAAGAAATGATTGTGCAGGTAGTTAATTAATACATGTTTTATGTAAAGTTAAATGTAGTTGAACTATCTAAACTAAAGTGAAGTCATTTTTTTCAGTAAACTGTATGTAGAGTTACAAATATGTTTGCATTAAAATATGTATTGTCAGTGTTTTATATAAAACTATGTAGTGCAATGTTCTGACACTGTTGGAAATGTGAGGAAAGTACAAGTTATACAGACATAAATTCCAGCACACTCATCCAGCATAAAATTACTAAAGATATGTAAATACATCACTTTCTCATAGCTCTTTTGTTTTAGCTTGAACTGCTGGTTTTACTTTTCTGTAGTATAACTAGGATTTATCTGTATCTATATAACCCTCCCATCCTCAAGACAAAGACCTGCAATCTGATCCACAAAGTCGATGGAAACATAGGAGCTACAATACAATTAAATGTGGAAAATATATGTATAATAGAAAATAACTTCATGCTTCTAAAGCAATTAAATAAGTATGAAAAAAATGCCTAAATTATGTTTTACATTAAGTTATTTGTCTTTAGGGGTCGGTACAAACTGTAGACTTAGGGAAAGTGAAGATATCTGTCGGCTGTGATTGGTTTATCCTCGTCTAATGATAAGTAATGCGCACTGCTGCATTCCAAGTTAATATACTTTAAACTATGGGCTCCCTGAAAAATACACGACAGCATCACTCTCATTTGAGCACACTTTCCGCGCATCAAAAACAAACCAAAAAGGAAAACAACCGTGCATAGAACACACTATCTTTACGGCTGCTTAATTGATCTACAAGTGTCTTTAAACTGTGTCTTTCACGTCGTTGCAGGCTGGTGCCAGTCCGGTGTGGGTGGTGACCACAGCAGTGAGGACACACTCTGAGGAACACGCCCCCCACCGACACTCAGGACGGGTACATTTTTCTACAGGGGAGGGAGGAAGGACCAGGGCGGAGAAGGTTTTGGTCCCAAGCGCTACCCGAGGTGTTGTACCGCAGATAGGTGAGGAGGATCAGCCCCGCCCCTCACCATGACGGACTTGGAGGCCGATTGTTTGAGCCTCGGCCTGCCCCCTGAGTGCAGCTCCCCTCCCCCTTCCCTAGACGTCCCGGAGGTGGCCGAGCCTCTTGTGATGCTGCCATGCGTGAAGAGTGAGCCGGAGGACGGAGACCTGGAGCCCATCTGCACCGTGGACCTGTCGGAGATCCAGCCGCTGTCCACCGCCGAGCTGGGCCATGATCAGATCAAGATGGAGATCAGCGGCCTCGACTACATCAAGTCGGAGCACCACGGCCATCACGGGGACCAGCACCTGGGCCACTTCACCCACAGCGATGCCACGGAGCTGGACTACAAGTCCCACTACGAGCCCAGCTCCGTGTTTGACTACATCTCCCAGGTACCCCTCTGCTCACAGTAGGTTTACTTTTGCCTTTATGATAGTCAGCTAAAGGTAACAGTAAAGGCAGAACGTTTTTACTCTAATTCCAATAATCCTACTATAATAGGGGTATCTTTAATTAGTCCCACAACGATACAAATGTGCAGTGTCATAGCAGCAAAGGGACAACAATGATAAGAAGTACAGAAAAGCAAAATATAATAAATAAGTAAAAAGTACAGGAATATTATAAATATAAATGTATTTTGTTGTTAAAAAAAAGTAGACTGAGTAGTTAAAATAAAATTACTACACGTACAGTATTGCACTGAAAATTGATATTGGACTAATTGTGAGTCTAGATCTGCGGTCTACTGAGAGCAGTATCACTATGCCGTTACCATGGTGAATATGTGCAATATGACCTTATATTTATGTGAAGTTATTTTAGTTTTTAGTAATGTGACCATATTATATAATAATATTTTTTTTTTTAAACGTAAGGGATGTTCATCTCTTAACATGATTATTTTTTCATTTTGTTGGCAACATAGTGAGACTTATTAAACAAAACTCATGCTTGTATTGGCTCTAAATAGGAATGTAATGCAGTGTGCGAAAAAGCACACGTCCCACCGTCCGGGACGTGTCATTTACAATATCGGACACGTAGATCTTTCAATTGACTTGTCCGGTGGACAAGTGACGTTTTTCGCCCTCATTTATTGACAAATTATTATTAAATTCAGTTTACAAAAGGCAGAACTCATTCGCAAATTGTCCGTTTAGAAATGTTAGTTTTGGTTCTGCTTGTCGATTCCTAAGGAAATGCATCTCTCCGCTTTCTGTACTGTTAGACGGGGCAGGGCGGGAAGTGGAGCACAGTGGCAGGGTTGGAAAGCAAAACTTGGTTCCGAGTAAGAACAAATAACAATTGTCCGNTTCAGACGGGCCTGGACATGTACTGGCTTAAGCAGGGGGACACGTCTGGCACTGCAGGATTTGAGTCCCTGGCGGCGTAGTGTGTTACTGATGGTAGCCTTTGTTACTTTGGTCCCAGCTCTCTGCAGGTCATTGACTAGGTCCCCCCGTGTGGTTCTGGGATTTTTGCTCACCGTTCTTGTGATCATTTTGACCCCACGGGGTGAGATCTTGCGTGGAGCCCTAGATCGAGGGATATTATCAGTGGTCTTGTATGTCTTTAATATGACTAATAATTGCTCCCACAGTTGATTTCTTCACACCAAGCTGCTTACCTATTGCAGATTCAGTCTTCCCAGCCTGGTGCAGGTCTAACAATTTTGTTTCTGGTGTCCTTTGACAGCTCTTTGGTCTTGGCCATAGTGGAGTTTGGAGTGTGACTGTTTTAGGTTGTGGACAGGTGTCTTTTATACTGATAACGAGTTCAAACAGGTGCCATTAATACAGTTAACAAGTGGAGGACAGAGGAGGCTCTTAAAGAAGAAGTTACAGGTCTGTGAGAGCCAGAAATCTTGTTTGTTTGTAGGTGACCAAATACTTATTTTACCGAGGAATTTACCAATTAATTCATTAAATATCCTACAATGTGATTTCCTGGATTCTTTCCCCCCATTCTGTCTCTCATTGTTGAAGTGTACCTAGGATGAAAATTACAGGCCTCTCTCATCTTTTTAAGTGGGAGAACTTGCACATTTGGTGGCTGACTAAATACTTTTTTGCCCCACTGTACATATATGTGTGTGTATATGTCTGCATCTGTAGCCTGTAATTGTCTCATTATACCGCACTGTCAATGAATTCAAAGTAAATATATAAGTAAGTAAGGAGGGGAATTAGATACATGAGAAAGAGCCCATGTGTGTTTGGCTCATGCACTTTTACTAGGGGTCGCAATCCTTCAAAAGTTGATTCTCTTTCCACTGGCTAAAAGCACAGGTTGCTTTAAAATTCCCTACTGATGCACATTCAAAGTACTATATAACCCTACTTTATTTATTTGTATACATGTATATTGTTTCTCACACTTTACCTTGTTGCATTTGAACTTAATTTACTACAATTACTTTGCAGACAAATACTGTAAATAGCATCCTCGGTTTACATTCTGTTAGTGGGTTGCTCAATTATGGTGTGTTCTCATTCTGTATATTTATATTATGTATTCAATAGAGAGCCTCTGTTGAAATAAATATTTTACATAATGCTAAGACAAGACAATTTCCCAGTTTGGGATCAATAAAGTAAATCTAATTTATTCTAATCTAATTCTAAATGAATGGGGGGAGGGACAATCCCCCAGCAACACCAGATGTGCTGTAAATGTGGTATTATGCATTGTTCTTTGCCCTCCTCACGCACATAACTTTGATCAGAACATCATTGGTGTTTTCTTGCGTTCGTTCAGGGGGCTGAATTGTTCTTGTTTACGTCACCCAAAACACATGCTTTTTGGATTTAAATTGTAATTACCAGATCACAATGATCCAGAATGAATAACACAATGATGCTGATTTGTAAAAAGTTTGAATTCATGCTTAGTTGGGTCTTTCTGCAAGATGACAAGCAAACCCCTTAAAAATGCCTGTTTTGTAAGTTAGGTTTGTAAAGAATTATCAATATTGTAGCTACTCCATCAACACTTAAAATAACCTCATCTATAAAAGGCATAACTACGGCAGCTATGGTACTGTTTACATACATACATGTGTATTTACTGTAATATAGAATATAAATACTGAAAGGCCTTTAGGATGTTTATTATTGATGACACAGATGGCTAAAATATCTTTACCACCACTGAACGGAATCCCTTCTCATTTTTGCATTGACTTTGTGTTGTGTGGCTGTCCCTCATTGTTAGTGATGCTGGTGCTGACAGTGAAAAGTGTTTCATGCACTCACAGCAGCCAGTTTTCTGAAGAGGAACGTGAACTGGTCGGCCTCCTTGATCATCCTGTCGGCCCCCTCCCTCCTCTCATCAGCGTTCTTAAAGGTGATCCTCTTCTGCATCACCGCCTTGATGTACTCCACCACCACCCTGCGCAGGGCCTCGCTCGTCATCTCCTGCATACACAACGTGTCATAAGACCGCAGTCACACAGAGAGGTGCAGGAATGAGTTCTGGAACCCAAACATTTGTTAAAATGTCAGCACTTCATATTTCCTCATATCAAAGTTTTTTTAACATGTTTTTTGATGCTGAAAAAAGATAAAGCCAAAGAGATTTTCATGTTCTGTTAAACAACATAAAATACGTCAGTAAAGACCCTGATGGTGATGTCTGAAGCTTCAATATGTCTTAAAACTTCAGTTGCTAACAAGTGACTAATATAAACTGAAGTTCATCATGCCAAACATTAGCCACGTTTAGCTTAGCTGTGGTGATGTGGGGTCATGTGACTGTTATGTAGGGTTGCAAAATTCCGGGAATTTTCAAAGATGGAAACTTTCCATGGGAATAAACGGGAATAAACTGGGAATTTTCTAAATTGAAGGTTGGCTCTTCATAGGGAACTTAAATATAGTTGGGGAAAGTATATTTTAGCATCATCTTGACTAAAAAAAACATATGCCATTCAAGTACACTTGACTTTGTGGGGATTTTTTGATCGGGGGTGCATTTTTGTTCATTTTTTAATGAGTGGGGATGAGCAATATTTAACTCAACATTCCTGTTTTCGTTCTTCAATTAAACAAATAATTGTTCAATAAAATAATTAAAACTTGTTCTGTTCTACTTCTAAAAATTAAAATAAAAAAAAAATCTCTTGAAATGTCATGTTTTTTGTTTAATTTTGCATTGAATATTTCCAAAATTTCCCAGCTTAACTTCCCATGGAAACTTTCCGGAAATGTACCGGAAATGTTCCGCCCCTTTGCTGTCATGTAGTTTGTTTAAAGGTTTTTACATCTGGTGATTGCATTTACGTTTCATAAATTATAAAGTTGTGTTTATATGTGGGGATTATCCTGCTGAACAAAACATGACCGTATCATAAACATGTATATGCCACAGAGTTTATCTCCTGCAGATCTTTCTGCAGAGGGAGCCTTGCTAACTTCAGCCGACTGAAACACATCATTGCTGCACCAACTTCTCTCCTCCTACCTGATTGAAGGGTTTCTTGATCTTGTTGAAGTCGTTGAAGTAGTCCTCCACCGTCACACAGATGGTGTCCACAGCGTGAGAGCCCGTAAGCCACTTCCTGGTCATCAGCTCGTACAGGTGATGCTGCTCAACGCAACGGAACAGAGGCAGCAGGGAAATGCAAAGGAGCATTTAGTTTATTAACAGATTGCCCACAGTTGTCCTTTTTACTGTCACTTAAACTGAAATAGATTGATTATCTTAAATGTATTCAGGCATCAGTAACATCGTGCCTAATTGCTGCCATGCTATCTTTCAAAAATAAAGGAGCCATAGTGCAGTGAGAGTGATTGAGATTTTATTTTTGTAATTAACAGACAATTGTTTGTTTGCATATCATATGTTTCCAAAAGCTTAAAGAAATGCATCTGATCATTTATTGTGTGATGTTACCGCTAATAACATTTCCTTTGTTATTTCCTTCTTTTTGAATGTGACAGTCGTTTCTTAAAAGGGATGCAAACACACTTATGGTGAAAAAAGAGAGAACTATACGAAGCAGAAAAAAAACAGCGTAATATACCATCTGACAAAGGCTTGTCAGGGCTCGACATTATAAATGGCCCGCTGGCACTATTTAGACAACCCGGGCCAGCATAACGTACGTTCCACTTGCCCGCTCGGGCCACAAAAAATATTGCTTTAAAAAAAAAAAATGGTCCTGTGGTATTGGTATTTTCACTAGCAATTTTGTTAAATTGTTTCGTTTATTAACGCTACAACATAGCGTTTTGTAGGTCGATTGTCGTTGTTGGGTGAAAAGCAAACAGCTGTTTGCTGCGGAGCGCAGCACGAGCAGGCTCCTGTGAGCGGGAGCGCGCTCCTTCACTACAGACTATCGCGCCACCTAACCATTCGCCAAAATGTTTTTAATACCAGCGGTAACTGG